CGGAGCAGAATGACTAGCTCCCTTGTGAATTGGATAATAATCCCATGTTTCCACATGTCGGGCACGTACATTTCGTCAAAACAGTACTGGAAGAATCGAGCCAAAGGCTCAGCTAAACGCTATCCTACCGCCGCTAGCAATTTCGTGTATATATTATCAAATCCAGGAGAGCTGTGCTTGCGCATACTCAACAGCATTTTTGGTACAGTTTCTGCCGTGAAAGATATGTGAGTTTTGGGAGTGAAACAACTATGGTCATAGGGTTATGTGGTCTGTGATCGCACTGAAATTTGGCAGCATATTGTAGGCGCAGGGTATGCTCCGCCTCCTTCGGTGTCCGTGCACTGTTTGAAGAGTATGAATTCCCCGTTTTACCTTGCGTAGACGGTTGATGCCTTGATACAGAAGCTTGTGATTTGAGGCCATACGCACTGCCAACTTCTCCTGATACGCCATTCCAACCTCGTGAACAAACTGAGTACAATGGTTACGTTGGGCCGGTGCTGGGAGAGAAAGATGCCAAATTGAATTTCGCACCATTATACACTTGCGTGTCGTGCTTCGCAGAAACGAGACCACGTTTCTCGGGTGGAAGGTCTCAGTCGCTGGTGCTTCGGCAACCAGGGATCTAAAGTGGCTGACGAAATATTCCCTGCACTACCCAGTGCCTCGTATGCCAGAAATGTCCAGTTGGCTGTCTCACCTAGTCGAGCTAATATGTCGTAGGTTACATACGTTCTCAATGCGTCGGCGATTTCCACGGGATATTCTGCATAGCAAATGTATTCGAAGTGTAGTATTGTAGGACCGCTACGGTCCAATGGGATGTCAACGATCACCCTCTCGACCATTAGTTCTTCGTTGGTGAATATCCGATCCAGTATCGAAGGCTTATCTTTTTCCCGGAATCGGGTGGGAGTGTTGATGTGGCCGTACAGCTGGAAACTGGAGATAAACTATTGTAGATCTGCCTTAAACTATTCTCCGGGAGCTGCTTTGGATTCCAGAGCGTGGATGTTGAAAGCGCCAGTAATGGGAATGTGACTGTAAGTTGTGTTTATCACTCTCCTTATTGCGGATAGCAGAATGAAGTCCATCTCGGGCATGGAGGAAGATGGGCGGTACATGACCACCACCAAGCAGGTGTTGTCATTTTTTAAACGTAGACGGCACCAAAGGGAATCCTGTATGGAATTGACTGGATCCTTTATGGGCTCACCTCGGTCGGTGGCCGAGTGGTCTGCGCACCTGGTTTGCATCCATAAGGTCATCGGTTCGAATCCGCGTAGAGGTGGGCGTCCTCGCGGTATACTCAGCCCGCGCGCGACTGGTGGTGGTCGCGCGGCATCAAAGCGCCGTTAAGGCGTACAGCTGACACATTATTATTCATTACTATGGGCTCACATTGGAGGTCACTTCGGAAGGACAGAACCACTCCTCTGCCTTTGCTAGGTCGGTTGTGCTGAACAACGGACATACCTGGCAGTGCGATCTCGATGTCGCTTATGTCAGGGCGTAACCATGTCTCCGTATCGCGATGAGATCGCAGACATTTGATCCTTGACGCAGTCGCACTACGAAAAGTTTACTCAGTAAGCCTTGATCGTTAGTGTACATACAGCAAAGCATCTCGGATGTCAAAAGCTGTTGATTAGGAGAACCTGAAGGATGTGGATTTGTGCCGACCGATGAGAGGCCGGCACATAATCGTTTTTTGGGTGAATTGCCAAATCTCGATAGGAATGCAATCTGTTTTTGGTCTCACTTGCACCTGCTGTAGGTAGTCCATCGGCAGCTTTCTCGATAGCTACGGGTCTTAGCACACAAGTTTCTGAATCATTGTTGTGGTTATGTTGAGTCGCGGGTGGCGTCGTTTCTGAAAGAACAGTGAGTGGCTGCGGCTCTCTAACTGTTGTCTTCAGTTGTAGTTCCGAAGGAAGTGCGTTGCATAGTAACTGCCAGCTACGGATTAAGTTCGACGCCATCTGTTGTGACTACACCGTTAGTTTCGGGATCCTCGGGCTCTTGATGCTGAATTTTTACTCAGGTCATTTAACCTAATATCAAGCCCCCTTCATCCCATCAAATTTAACCCTTATGAATCGAGCGCAAATGGCTTTAAGGCAGCAAAAGGTCAGCAGGAAGCACCGATTTATCGTTGCTGTTGATGCTGCTGCTGCCGTTCATTCCGGTTGGTTGAAAACGTCGATGAGATACCAGGGATTTGTACACCTTTTTGAGAAAACCATGGATCTGAAATGTTCGTCTGATCGTACGGGTAAATATCAATGGGGACGGTTGTTTTCGGGGACCACATGGCACGGAACTTACCGCCCCCGTTCCAGTGATACACGAGCTCCGAGTTCAAATGCGAAAAGCAGCAAATGGAAAGCAACTTAAAGCATGGATTTCCATGCATCATTTTGAACAAAACAATTAGAAGACCAGCACTGCAAGGTGGTAACAGTTCGTGTTATCTGATCTCTCGCAAACTAACAACATTTATAGGTCACGTGAAAGAGGAAAGCGATCGCATTTGATTTGGTTAGAAAAGAAAGTACACCGAGACAAATCAACAGACGGCTGAGCTGCGGCGAAGGTCATGAACCCCAAGGAAGCTTTAGGGCTACTGTTAGTTGCTTATGTACACAGACAGTAGAACGGCGCCGAATAAGTGTCAGGACCTCCGGAAAATTCAGCACGCTGAAGTTTTAGTTTCGCTATACAACCGCAAATGTTGAGTCAGGGTCAACTTGAGGACCCGTATCGATTAGGTGACGAGCGGTGGGTGGCGCCAGCAATTTTCCCGCTGCTCCTTGTCCGGTTGCCTAGCAATCCGCCTCGAAACATACTCTACCGTTCGCTTACCCAGACGACGATCTGTTTTGCCAATGTAACTGCTTCCGTATATACAGACGAATCGGTAAATGCAGCGTGTTATGGTGGAGACCGGTTGAGTAGTAGTCTGGATTTGCAACAGCTATTAACGGTATCGCAGCAAACTCCACTTAAAATGTGAAATGTGAACTACCCACCTGTTGATACCCAGACGTTCGAATGTGCCGAATTTTAATAGTGCGAACGGCTCTTACGGGGATCACAGCAACTTCGACGATACAGTGAAGCATGAGTGGATGAGGCGATAAATATGCGCGGTCCAACGTTTACAAGAACAGAATCCGGAGCGGAGCAACGTGAGCAGTCTTTCTTACGCTAATGGTGAATTTAGTCAGTTTACTAAGCGTGCTGGACACCGTATCCCTCTGTCATGTCGTTAGCCATCAGTACCTAGCCACTGTATGTATAAGGTCGGACCGATCTTCCGGAACCGTGTCCCACTTCGTTCAGAACAGACCTATTATTGTTATCTTTATCATGGTTTCAGGATTACCGCCCGTAAGCAAACTTCGCAAATGAGAGTAGGATTGTCACCTTAGAACGGAACCCAAGTGCCTTCAGTTAATTTTCCGATAGTACAGTGTATCAAACAGCAATAATGAGAGAAACTCAAGAAAATAGCAGCTGTTACCTGCGCAGCAAGTTAGACAGCTTATGTACGGGCCAATGCTGACTAATCAGTTGGACCGAAAACGGCTGAAATATGTCCATAAACCGCGATACCACGTGTCGGCCAAATACGCATGCAGTAATAGGTCAGATGTAGCAGTGAACCGGGAAAATGTCACATTGTCAGCGAAAATACCGGTAACAGTGGCTTATACCCACTAGACTAAAATCGAGCACTTACTCTTAATGAAGATATGCTAAAACCGACAAACGGATACTAATTAGTTGAAGCGCTAGGTGATAATGGAACATCAAGGTGAGGAAATATGGAAAGCACAGATAACTCGAATGAGAAACCTCGGATCGAAACTAGATTCCAGAGAGATTGAGTCGATCATCAGGATGTATCAAACTCATGCGAACAGGCTTTCAGCAACAAGCTATTGCGTTGTGGAATGTAAAGAGCTAAGCCATGAATGTTGCAGAGAGCATAGTTCTACCAAAATATTTTAACGACTCACTGATTCACAAGTACGTAGTGTGGGATAGCGACTGGTTTGTGCCGAACAAAAAGTATGTTGTGTAAATATGGCTTCAACGTACAGCTACAGAGACGAACTTTCAGTTTGGGGGATCATCAAGCGAAATAAAAATTGAGAAGCAGTTTCGGACCTCTCCTCGATAGAGTTGCCTAAAATCTGAGAGCGTTCATTTAATGCCAGCGCTAAAACTCAGCTCATTTTCAACTGGAACACGGAGCTAGCAATGACGTGCTAGGCCAACATGTTTCCGCCACCGGGATTTTTTGTGGAGTGATGAGGTCTATCATTCCCCGACCGGGGACACATTGGCAGGATGCACTGCGAACCGGTAGTTTGGGGGATGTGGAACAGTGGGCGACCAGGTAACTAGTTTAATCTAGTGAACGGTGGTTTACAAGTAGAGGGCGTGTAGATTTATCCACTTAAATAGGCCATTTTATGTGCCTCGGAAGTGTATCCCACGTGATGAGGAACCAAACTCTCATGAAGCACATGGTGAAATAAAATAATAAGTGAAGATCGGCATCACGGTTCTGTTGCTTTGTCCCCGATTACGCTGAAACACAGAGCATTGAACGTTTCCGGCGAGTTAGCTGTCCAAATATGGATCGCGTCATCTGCATCCGAAGAGTCCACACAAGGGAGCTGGTAATGGGGCTCCGTAACGTGGAAGCAGCGTAGCTCTTCTCCCCTACATGGAGCAAAAACGAAGTACTAGCGTTGGTTCGTTCTGCAATTTATACTTGGCTTAGCTTAGTAGCCATCCATCCTTTACACAGTATAACGTCACAATTGGACCGACCTACAGTGGGGGTGTCGATATCGCTGAATGTCGATTATCATGGTTGGAATCCCTTTGCTAATCAGTACAATGACCTGAAAGTGAGGCGTTTCGCAAAGTAAATGTTTCGGGTATGCTCCAATGTCTGAGGGGAAATCCAACAAGCTTACTGTGGTATCCACAACATTTGTAATCAACGGAGCGCGAACTTGCACCACGGTTCCGCTGCCAGTGCACTGCACCACAACGACATCGGATTGAGATTCGTGCATGGTGTCATTTGATATCAAAGCCAAAGCACCCATTGATCCCAAAGTGATTACTGGGTACTTAACGCCTTGTTCACGCATCCAATTGAGACATTCGATGAAAACAGGCGGGATCACGTGAGCATTGTTCTCTTTGGAGTCCAGAGAGAAATCGACGGAAGGTACGTGATCAACCAAATGGGCGGCTTCTGTTTCATTCGGACAACAATAATCACAGGTGCTCAACAGCTCTCGAATTAGATCACCGTCTCCAGAAGGCTGTAATTCGCTCGAATGTTTGAGGGGTGGGGCCGGATTGAGAATGGTCACAGCTCCGTGTTTTCGAGCTAACCGCAGAGAATGCAGCGTTGTGAGGACGTTAATCTGAAAAAGGAGGGCGCAAACGAGGATGATGACATGAAAAATTTTGTTACACAGAATTTTTCGCCAATAATGAGCGCGATAGGGTGAGTGACACAGGTTTGCATCACCTCAAAAACCGGCTGATATATGAATATATACTTTGAAAAGAAATTTAATCGACCGGAATTGTCAGATTTCTCATCGGAATGATTGCCCTACTCCCTGGACTATCACTTTGAATCCACCCTCTCACACAGAAGTCGAACGTGAGATCGGACTGCTGAAGTTGTATAAGGACGCGGGAGCAGATGATCTTCCTCTGGTCCTCTTCAAATTAAAGGAACTTGCTCCTGTTGGTGATCTACACAAATTACTAGTGAAATTGTGAGAGCAGGAAACTGTCCTAACCGACTAGAGCCGCTTCGTTATTGTTCCGATCTTCAAATGACGCTCACGTTCGGAATACGGCAACCACAGAGGAATCAGTCCGAACTCTACCGCCTACAAGCAACTTGCCGGTGCCATACTTCAGACTAACTGGCAATCGTGAAAGCCAGATTCGTGAGCAAGCAGGGTTTCGTCGAGATTGTGGCTACAACGCCAGCTGTTGGAGCAACGTCATATATATTGGCGGCCCACCGGTGTTGTGTTCCTCGATATCAAAGGTGCATTCGGTTCAGCGAAGCTGTGTGTTCTTTGAGTGTCTGCTAAGGAAAGGTGTACCTAAGAAATATGTGATTATTACTCGAGCGCTTTATGCGCTTAGCTCGGGCAAAGCGAGGGCTTAAGACAAGCGATCGCCGTCCTCCAATATCTCCAGCGGTGTAGGACAAGGATGCCTGCTTTCACCTTTCCTCGTCAACTTTGCTAATGACGAAGTCATGGAAATCGCATTCACAGGATATGACTTAGGTGTGGAGCTGCTCCCAATTGAACGACTTCTTGACTTGGAGTATGCTGACGACATTGCCCTCATCTGTGACAGCTCAAACGTGCCAAGCGGCTCTGGACGAATTAACACTGGCTGTTAGTCACTTCGGGCTTTGCTTCGCACCTTCGAAATGCAAAACGTTACTCCAAGATTGGTCTGGACCACCTCCTGCGCTGACCCTTGGTGGAGAGCAGGTAGAAGTCGTTCAGGAATTCAATTACTTAGGCGGTTGCATCAACACCAGTTGGATCGAAGAAAAGGTCACAAACCCCATAGCAAAAACTCGAGGAGCTTTTGCTAGCCTTAACCACCTATGGCGCCGGTGCGACATCCCTCTCTCTCCGAAGGGCAGAGTTTACAATGCAGCCGTACGTTCGACCCTACGGTACGGTTGTGAATCCTGGCCCATTAGATCAGTAGAGATAGAGACTAATGATATTCCACCGCCGATGCCCTCGCAGTTTGGTTCGTATCTATTGGAAACACCAAGTGAACAATGAGCGTGTTCGACGCCTTATTTATGGCACAGGAGGAGGAGATAAATCGCTCAGCACTATACGTGAGTGCGTGACGTGCTAGTCGGAATATTCCAGTGTTTTTGCCCTTTTTTGCTACCGTGTCTCCAATTCTCATCGTAATCCCGTCTGCATACACTCATAAGATGAGAGGAGATGTGCTCCTTCCAACGCACAACATATCCCGAAGTTACGCATTATGGACTACCATCTCTCGTCGACTTTTCAAGTCTGCGCTTTCTCCGTGAACGCATATACGAGGAGTCTTTCGGGTTACATCCTAAACCACAACTTGTGACCTCTTATGAAAGCCCAAATTAATGGCGCTATAACAACTCTACAACCGCTTCTATCGGTAGAGTATAGGGCAGCTACAGGCGGAGGCAAAAGACATGTGTCGCTAATCATCCAAATGTTGTAACAGCCAGAGGTTGTATGTTCAGAAACCAACTCACCGAGCACAAACCATTAGTGCCCACGCCGAGCGGCGCTCAGACTGGATCACCAGCATGCGTTGCGTTCCAAGACCTGTCTGGGTTAAATTGCAACCGCTTTTGACCTGTCACAGTAAAGCCTGTGCTGACCCGACTGATAACCGGTGTGCAATTGGAACATTGAGACTAAACCAGGTATTTGCAACTTTTATTCAACCGTGGCCCTGTAGGGATGAAACGTTCGCACTCCGCCAAGTGCTTGAACACATTCACCCATAACACATATAATAAGGTGTCGTTCTTAGACACCCGGATTGGAAGTGCTCCTGTTGAGCGGCCTAATTTACGACCATGTTTGCCAAAAAGACAGATTCCTCTAAAAAATATATCGCCAATCCTCGAGCGCTGTACTTCCAGGTCTCAGGTGAATAACACTGCGAAATCACATTTTTGTTGCAAGGAAACAAACAGTGGTTCTTGTATAATTTGGGCATGCTGAATTCGAATCTGAAATTGGTTTTTCTCTGTAAACTACCGATTTCTCGGAAACCGACCATAAATGTCCCTTTTTACACCTTTTAGCTACTTTTCAATAGAGCACATTGCGCAACAATAGTGGGCTGTAAAGAAGCTAACAGCAATTCTTATACAATTCGACAATGTCGAATTATAAGCTGACATTGGTTTTTCTCTGTAAGTCTCAGATTTTTGAAAAAGTGACTATAAATGGTTACGGAATACTGGTAGCTCGGGATGATGACTCAATTGTCCATTTGTTCTCCGAGTTTGGCGGTTTAGTTGCAAACGTTTCACTACCATGCGAAGTGGCATCCTCAGTGCAGTGTGCAATCTTACTGAATAGCAGTATTAACCACGCAAAAATCTCAATTTATTATGTGGTCATTAGATTCTCGCCAAATCATGGGAAGTCAAAATGGCCGGCCTTTGCGTTTGCCTTTTGTCCAGTCATGAAGCACTTCCTCACAATAATGATTCACAATGTGAGGTGCCCATGATTGATCTTGGTCACTAAGAAGTATTTCAAAGTATGCTTTATAGGCACATTTTACAAATGGACTAATATTTCTCCTTTGACGAACTAGTGTATAACAACCGCATATAGAGCAAAATGCATCAGATTCAGTTACACATTTATGTACACCTGAGTGAACCATGGTCATAACTGAAAGGAAATTGGTATTTAACTTTCTAGTTACGTGAAATGTCAAAATGTCTAAAAACTAGAATATGCAGAAAAAACGGGTTAAAGGTTTGAAATCAGCATTAAAAATTTATGTAGAATCAGTTTAAAAATCTCGTGCAACAGTAAGTTGCAAAAATTTTGTTGTCCTGTGTAATGAAAGGCTGACTTTTGTATTCGCTGTCACTTGCGACGAATAGCGGGGATACTCTACAACACATTTTCGATTTCACTTTGCATTCACAGATAACCAGTAGATAGCTATGGAAAGCCACCTACCACTTTGATGGCAATGCTAGTCGACCTCGTGGTTGCCCATTTACTCGATCGCTCGCCAATTCTTAATGTGGTCCGACAACAGTGGAAAGGCTACGGATATAACTGTCGCTAGATCAAGACAAAGAACAGGCGAGACCAAAGTACCTAACATAGTACTATGTTCCACTTGATACGAACTGGGTCGAACAAAGATACTCGAACTCCGAATCTCAATACCGCTCCGTCATAAAACCGGATTGCCAGAACCATGGAGCTTGCAGAGCAGGAAACGATCGTGCAACCGATTGAACGCCATTGAAAATGTCAAATAAATGACAATCGCTTCTGTCCCATTGTCAACTGATCCAGTGCAACTACAGTCTGCCATTTACAGATGCGTTATACACGATCAATGCTAATGAAAAGGGTTTTCCAGTGAGATAACACCATGATGTGCTAGGCAGCTCGTTAACTGAGCCGCAATAATAATTTCCATGACCTTGGAAAGCATAGGAGGGAGCGGTATTGGCTCAGTTGACAGGCTCATATGGACTTCCTACCAATTGAATAGGAGTGATAGTACCTCGTTTCCACATACAATCATGTTCTCGTCCAGACATCATTCCGCTGTATGCGTATTCCGGGGAGGCAGCACACACCAATTTCGAATTACATCTGGTCACATCGTTCACATCAAATTACAGCTGGTTAGTTGTTTCTTAGGAACCTTGCAACATGTGTGAAATTCTCCTGACGCACAATCATCTTTCGTACTGCAGCTATACAAACGACTGTCATGTAGTGCAATTGAAGGCGAGATGAATCGTTTAAACGGACCGTTGCTTTACTTGCCAATATAGGGTTTGGTGGACCGGACGCACGAGGAACTGACGGAGTTAACACCAAGCTCCTGTTTCCTCGATTCGAAATCGTTGTTTATATTGACCGTTGTCAGTACACTTGCGCATGCAAGCAGTAATCCAATAAACCCGCCCGTACCGAGTTCGCTCGTACTGTCTCCAGCTCAACGTAGCCGCCGCAGTTTTCACGTACCGTATTGGTGACGTGATCTTCGACCCGTTCGAATTTCGTATTGCATGTTCAGCCTGTGACTTGTTTCAGCTTTGACTGTCTAACAGAACCTAGCCTACCGGAGCTATTGCAGTGACTATAGCACGCAACCTGTGCGTGTGTGTATTACTCCGTTCATTGTGTCGCGCACTGCGCCTACACTTTGACCACTCACCTGACCACTCATTGCAGAGCATACCTGGCGTATCCCACTCCCCAACCAGTAGCTTCAGCGTCTGTCTACTCATCAATCCACCGGCAAGAATCTGACCTGTTCAGATGTGGTCATTTGCAATTTTAGCTGCTTGCGACGTTGGAGGTTCCGTGTGTGCTGACTGTTTGAGGGCTAATCCGGCGCTGGTTGTTGTCAACCTAAGAGCGTGAGTAATCAAAATTTGATCCTGTATGTTATTAATGTCTTGTAAACAGTAGCATAGACTTTGGATTCAACACGTGCAGTGAATAAGTCGGAATCGTTCATACGATTAGTTTAGCTGCACTGTTTGGATCTTTACAGCCCTCTGGTCCAGCAGTTTTGTGCAGTAACTCGAGAACAGAATTTCGTGTTAAATCCTATCACCAAGTAAACGAATTATATACTCCTGGTGTGT